CAAGAATATTTTCTGTCGTCTTTTGGTTCGCAATGAATTCGTTTGTCTGCTTTTAGTTTCATCGCTTATATCAACCACCTTACGTGATTGCTGATTCATAACAGCGGTTCATGGTAATTTTGAGCAGCCATTATGGATAACTATTTATAGTTACGATGAAGCATTTACTAGTCGAAGATAAAAAATATCGTTTGGGATGGCTAGGAATACTTCCATGTTTACTGTTCCAGCAATGTGAACTATTCAAATAACTCTGATAAGTATGGGATGCTCGAACGTCGCAATTTTAGTTTTTTTGAGAGCTTTAGATGTAACTACGATACCTTTCAACTTAGTTCAGTTTTGTTCTGAGGAATAATGACCAGTGCAGCAATGGTATGGACAGAAAAGGTCAAGGCAAAGTTTCTGTCCCGAACACATAATAGGTGACTGCTTAAGTGATCCTTCTCAGTCGTCGCCACCTTTGAGAGTTTCTTCGTTTCTCAAGGTCTTGGAATTCTGTTTGGGCCAGACACAATCTCGGCTGCACTTGATTGGTTTGGCAAAAAACTTTCAGAGGCACTAACTGAACTATCCAAGCTGTTTGGTTGTTTGTGACCTGCTTCGTGACATAAAACACGTTTGTTGAGGTAATGTACGCCGATCTCTATATTCTGTTTAGATCTCTGCGACATCTTCTGTCAGGCTTCTGTCACTTGCGATTAGTTCTGCAACTACTGGTTTGTTTTGATGGTTCTTCCTTTTGCGTATGATTGGTTAAGTATGTTCTTGTGTGAGACATTTATCCACTATTTCATCTTTAACGCGTACTAAATGAGATGAAGATGCCTCCAGGTCATGTACATCCGGACGGTTTTGGACGTAGCACGGGAAAACTCGTATTCATCCTAGTTTTAGAACCGCCTTACTCACTTAGGTGATGAAAAGACTAGTAGAGTGATCTATCAACTTATGTCACTCCTTGAAAAAGACTTGGGATTTTTCATCCAGTAGATAATGTAGAATTCTTTTTGAATGTTTTGTGTTTTGGAAAATCCCTCCATGTTTACATATTTTTGCTATGACATGATGGACTTTTTCTCTTGACATTTTTGGTATTTTATTTGATTCCAATTTGAGATTTTACCATTGTATGTTGTTATTCTTTCCATATTTTGTACTTATATTGAAGTTTTTGTGTTTGCCTTTGAACTGTACATATATTGTTTAAATTTGATATAATATGGCTACCGCCACATTTTTGGATAGACGCGGTGGCTGCTGGACTTAGTGTCACTTACTAGCTATTGTAATAGATACTCTACGGAGTAATTTAGTCCTGGAAGAAACAAAAATACCGTAAGCCTCTGTATTTCCATTTTATATTAATATAGAGACGTTTTCTCCTAGAATTTTTGACCTTCTGATTTGGCTGGGACCTGGATCTAGGAGTAACGTACCGGAGTGTTTCTATTGGACGCGATTAGGACAGCCGCCGGCGAAATAGATTCTACAGATAACGACAGACGATTCATTATCTCAGATGGTGGTTGTGATATGAGGGACTCGAAAATAAGTCACAGTCATCTTTAGCTACAGGAGGAGAGAATATAGAACATCCGTTTTGAAATCGAGTTTCCTAAGATTTTATATTTTGCCTCGTAAAATGGTGCACTAGCTGAGCAAACCACAACTCCGGACCACTGAGATCAAATTCTTAGGGTCAGGGTTTTGTAGTCAAATCAGTGTATATTTTTACCTATTTTAGCTGTTTTAATTCCCTATTGAGTCTGCAATTTTATGATTTTTCAATGAACTATAAATAGGGGGACAATAATGACAACACTAAAAACGTGCTATTGGGACGATATTCACCATGAAAATGCAGATGGATGCAATTTCCGAGACAGTATGGATGCTGTTTTTGCCTGTTGGTAGTTTTAACTGCCAAGGAATCGGAAAGATACCATTATCACGCCATTCTATGGAGCGACGGGTTGATACTTAGTCACTAACTATCGTCCCGTTATTCTGTCTGGCGTAGTCTTCAGAATAATAAAAAATCTTATGCAGTAGCGATTCTAAACTATGAAGAAGGAAATAGTATTTTGGCCGGAGAACAACACATTTTATAAAATAGCCCTTCATACCTGATAAATCTCGTTGCAAGGGAATATTTGGTTGTGACAAAATATGATGATACTAACGTAGATGTGATTTTCAGAGATTTAAGTTAAGCATTTGACAAATTCTCTGACCTATGCTAATTAATGAAACATAACACTGTCTGAGATTACTATGTGGTTAGGAACTGCATAAACGACTTTCTCACTGATAAGATACAACAAATACCTCTAACTAAGCCTTATCAAAACATTAATCTGTTAAAAAGTTTAGTACGATCCTTGGCTATATTTTATTTCAATTTATGTAAATGAAATACCGACTGTAACAGTCATCTGTTCTAGTCTGCTAGTGATATAAAGATTTGGATAACAAACACTACCTTTCAGATACGTTAATATTACAAGAAGACTTGGATTCCCAGACGGAATTGACGTATAGGTGGCGATTTGAAATTAATTCCACAAAAACTGTAGTCATGAATTTAAATAACTGCGAAGATTCATGTAAGTGCACAATAAATGTTATTGTGTTGCCGAATATTGTAAGCAAAAACTTTAAGTCTTCAAAGTACTATAAATTTCAAGGATCGACTGAGTTGCTCCTACTGAACTTTTGAGGCTCATTACTGAAGGAAATGGTTACTGGATCTTTAACGGTTTCAGTATATACGTCTGATAGGTGACCTACTCTCTATGAGTAGTCGAACTCCTGAATTTATCACTGGCCGAGGTGGAAAAAGCTAATGAGCCGGAGTCCTACAAGAGGACTCTTGAAATTTTCTTAAGGACTCAGGATATTATTTCATTACGGTTTACTAATATTTCTCTTTTACTACTTGAATATACCTAAGTTCCTACCTGAGAGATATGTGATCCATTACTAGTAAATGCGGAAGCCCATTAACCAAAAGCTTCTTTCCTGTCCACAGTCATTTGAACGACTTATAACAAGACATTGCTGATTAGAACGGCCTTGCGCTTTTTTCATCTCTAGGTCGTAAGTATTCCCCCACCCCCTCACCGGTACTCATTCTAAGTGTGCCTTAACTACGTAACTTCCATGTAAGTGAGTCGTTTCTGTCTCGAATCCCTCATAAATCACAAAACTAGTCTCATCTCAATATCTTCTTACATTATCTAAAGACAACTTCTCAAATTAGTGACATGGTTAAAATATTTATCTGGTTCCTACATGTTGATAGAGGGAACTACGTACTTACAAGAATCATCCCGTGTGTGCACATTCCCGTTTAACAAACACATGAGGCCAGTCAATCAGCCTACCTCTCCATGAAAGCTCGCTACTTAAATCTATGGAAACAATGATTCCGGGAAAGTTAGGCTGTTATTTTTTTAACTGTCGTCAGCAAGTAGTGCAGTATTCGCACGTGCATTGTTTATAAACCGTTAGGAACAAGTCCCAAAAATTTTTTCTGTACTACAGATTTCGGGTTTCCGTATCGATCTATGGACGGCAATGTGATAGCTTACATCTTTACCACTGGATGAACGGTAATGTAAAAACGTCAAGTGTGTCTTTAAACTGATTCCATTCATCTTCGACGAACTCATCTATATTGACTGACCAATCTGTTGAGATTACACAATCTCTGGTTGCTAGAAAGCTAACCGGCCAGATATTGTGACAGAGTGGACCAGTTGCATACTTTATATTATGCTTCCAAAACTCAAGATACAGTACAACGTAACCAGTGTATGCTACTGAAGGTTAGCACTAAATGTCGGTAACATCAGTATCCAAAGACAAGCTGCAACACTGATGTTTTATGTTCTAAGTCAATGTTTCGCCTTCGCGATACGTTGTGCAAGTGCGCACTGGATATTAATTAGTACACTTCCCCCTAAACATCCACTTGTAGTTGTAAGTCCCATCCAAATAATGTGTGGCGCGTTGAGATCTCCAACGATGAAAAAGCAATCAGTGTTACTCCACGTACATATGTGACTTAAGGCGAACTTGTCAATAGTAATTATAGAATATTCGTCCCATGGTTACTGACTATTTTCAGATTTTATTGTGCAGCTAACTGCTTCATATGTGTCACATTTGTGCGCCTCTCATGTATCAGATTGTATGCGGAAGTATTATCTAACTGTAATGTTACGCCTCCTTGTACATACTTATAATTCAACCACTTCCAATCCAGTTATATTCTGCAGTAATTGCAAAAAGGTCTACATATATGGTGATCCACGTGTCTGTAAAGACTATATAGAGATTTGATTCTCAAACTTAGCTCGGAATTTTTATTCCTAAGACTATGAGCGTTTGTATAATGGCATTTTGGAGAACACTCGTTCTACCCATTCAGATCTCAGAAGCATTGACTTCCGGCACCGGGCTACCCAGAAACTCTGGGTCCCAATTTCGATTCACCATTTTGCTTTCGAGGCTTACATTTTGTAAGGACACTCTCCTCCTCCTTAAATGATCTACCAGGTTGAATACGAATACTCAAACTACGAGTCTCGCGTGCGTTATTGATTGCAGCGTTCCGTACCTCGTTAATTCCGAGGGCTTATTTTAAGATCCTCTCTAGGCGGGTCTCACCCCGCACCTATTTACCGAGTCTCAATATCTTAGTGACAGGTATTCCCAAAGCATCTTTAGGCAATGCAAATCCGATGATAGATCCGACTAACTACAGATCCTGAGCTTGCTGTTTAACAAGGTCATTTTTATTTTGAATCTTTCAAATCCTAAACAAATAAATTAATGATGAATTAAAAATTTTCGAAAGTCGTGTTCATGGCTTACGATAGTGCCATCGTTTCCTTTCCACTAACTACCGGAAGCTTTCTTGTAGTTGTCATTTTAGTTTTAACTTACGCATAAATCTATTCATCTAATATTATTCAACTTTTCTTATGAGGGAGTTTTGCTTTCTGCGCATCATGCATTTGCATTCTTCTCATCGACAGTGTTTAAAGTGAATGCACTGTTGATCGTTGACAGTTTCCTTGTCCTGACAGTGAGAGACGTACTACAAAAACACATAAAAATGGTTTGGAAAAGTGCTATCTCCTCTTCGAGTGCATCAACAGTTGGATCCCCGGCCTTTCGATCACAGGTGAGGGCTGAACTGGCGGCACGATTAACTACACTTGTTTTCTCCTTCTTGTTTGATGTTTAACTTACTGATTTAGTGTTGTCACTTGGCAACTTCCTCATCAGAGTGAGAAACTCCAAGGTTTCATCTAGAAGAATCACTCTACACAACCAGGATAAACCCAATTTGTAGCAATTTCATGTGCCTCCGAAGGTAGATTTGTACACATTCTGTGGAACTATCTCTTGGTCGCACTGCATATTTTCTCCAACTTTGAAAAAGTACAATCATTGACCACATCGATGACTTCGGACTACCATTATAACCAGACTGATGTGGATAACACAAGAGGAGTTCAAACAGATAATCGCAAAAATTATAAAATTACGTCTCTAGGGTTGTAATAAACGAAGATGGAAGACCTGATTAAATAAACAGTTTACTTGGAGAAGTTAATCTACTAGCCAAAAAGTGTACTCCATGTCATAAAGCATCCACTTGCGAAACGAGCGTATTCTTGGCTGTCTTCTTCCACATGTTTTCTGCTTATTAAGACATTCTGATCACGCCCGACATCCGGCTACAACACTTCTCTTCAGTAGTAACTTCAGGGTGACACAGTTGCGCGCTACTTATAAGCCTCGTTCTAAGTAGTATGTGCCTCAGGGCAACTGTAAAAATGTACCGAAACGGTAACTTCAACAAATAGTTAAGACGACAAAACATTTTAAAGACTAACAAGCTCAACTCTTATCTAATGAGTTTGAGAGTTTAGTTCAACGCCTCAATAGAAAATAGTGTCTCAAATTACTTAAGATCAACTCAAGAAAATATGTATCTGCAATTGCATCTGCTCTAATTTTCACATTATAACCGATACAACGAAGTCTATAATACTCGTATATGTAAAAATTGACTTAGTGGATCTAAAACGGTGTTCCGAGTCACTACCGTTTTCCGGTTCCCAGAAAAATGGATTTCAACTCTGTTTCACAACAATAATTTAATGCAACCTAGATCATTTTGGTTATCAGAACACATCCAAATGAGAAATTACTTGCTTCTATGAAATTCATCATTATTTTTATCATTGATAGTTCTAAATAACCTTCCTCATGTTATATGACTGAGTAAATTGTATACACAATTTTAAGAATACAGAATAACTTGTTTAACTTTTAGAGCTGAACTTAATGCCCGAAACTGTTTATTTGAACTCAACACGACCGAACCAACAGTACCACTATTTGGGGAGAATATTTCAGAGGTTTGTAATAGTTAGGTTTAGATTTATAATGTGATTCAGAATACAAGATTGGTTGATGTAGCTGGATTTAAACTATAGTTTTTCGTACAGAGTCTTCAGACTATCCTTCTGCTTGGACTGATAAATTGCTGCTGAATCCGTCCTCATAACTCTTTACCTACGTATAACACATTAAGGGATACATACTTAACTTTGAGTACCTTACGTTTGGAATATTATTTTATCGGTCGAAACTTTTTGATGAACTGCTTTACTTGGAAATATATACAAAAACGTTACTTGACTAATTCATTTGAATATTGTTACTATTATTTTTGTGATATGTTACTGTTTCCATAAGCTCATAATTACTTATATTTGTCAATTTTAATTTTTCACAACCTTCTACTTATTGAAGCCTTCCATCGCATGAACTTCGAGTATACAAATGAAGATTTTATATTACGGCCAGTTAATGATTCTTCAGAAGTAACAGCATTTCAAATTCTCTTTCACTATAGTTTGATAAAACTTTGGATTCCCTATGGACTCTCGCTTATAAATCCGATTATTTTCGTTACAAAATTGATACGTTGAATTCAGTAAAGAAAATTAGTTCTGGAAATGTAGATATTTTGGTTTTAGTAAGTAAGATCTGGTAACAACATAACTCTAGCCTAACAATAATCGATTCAGCCATCGGCGTAAACCACAACCATTTACAAGCATCAATGATCAGCCTTCAATGGAATCCTTCAATTTCACTAAAGTGCCTAAACATGAATTCTTGTTAAATGTTTTTGAAAAGCATACCACAGTAAGCATATTTTTATTTTTATGTTTAGAAACCATGTTCTATACTAATAAATGTTAGTCCATTCTCTTACTTACATTCTCTTTTGGTTCCGGAAGTAGAAAAGTGCTACAATCAGGTATGAATACATAATTTTTAACAGTTTCAGTTTCTTAGAAAAGATTCCTTTTACTCAGTAATCAAGTGTTTTCTTTTAGGTAGCAACAGGTTAGTTTAACATTCGTTATTTCACTACTTGAGTTGTTTATAAAAGCTCTATTAGCTATATTATTGCAAACAAGATACTCATAGTTCTATTGTTGGGAGTTGTAGTGTCGTATCAGTCCAGAGTAAACGAATTATTCTTACATTATGGTTAGTCTAAAATTCAAAGAAATTTATACTCCTCATCCGAAAGAGTACTTGAATTGACTAAATTGATGTTAATAAAGGCTATCCACATCTACCATTGTCATTTGACTGTCATAGACATTCTTTCAGAAACAAAAGTGATATGCATTTTTCGAGATTAATCTCCTACTTATGAAATGAGAGTAGAGACAATCTGCTGTTTTATGAACACCTTGAAAGATAACAACACAGAATATGATCAATTTTTGAGGATGGTGGTCCAGTCTTAGCAGTTAGATTGACTGAGATCTTAGATAAAATCTGTCAGCTGTGTGTAATCCCATTCGATTGGTCTACATCAAAAAGAAAGGACAAAAGTCCTCTTGTAACACTCACAGAAGAATCAGTTTGACTAATATATTGTCTAAAATATTAGATTCAATGGTACTTTGACGCCTCACTACGGCTGGTGAAGAGCAGATTCGAGAGAATCATGGTGACTTCAGACCTGGATGTGGATGTATAGACCAGATATTCACGCTACGTTAGGTCCTAGAACATAGACACACGTTCAGGAGTCTTACAATAGTAGTATTTACCGACCTTAATGTAGCATTTGACTCTGTCGATCGTGAGGTTCTATGGCAGTGTCTGTCATTGAAAGGAATACTAAAGTAATACATTAACCTTATACAGGCTCTCTACTCGACCACTGCTGGTCACTGACATGCTTTTAGAGACGACGCTTTCATCGACTAACTTTCAAGGAGTTGACCTTCCGCCAGGAGACTCACTTGTTGACTTAGAATGTGCTGATAACAGCTCTATTTGGTGAAGACGCTGACAAAATACAAAGTTTTATGACCGCCCTAAGCAATAATGCAAGCACGTTCAGGATGGGGTTCTCTTTGCCAAAGTGCAAGATGCTGCTTGAGGATTGGGTTGCGTCGGCACCTGAACTAGTTGGAAGAAGTGAAGTTGTTGACTGTTTTGACTGCTCCACTTGTCTCGGGAGTCTCATTAGTGCTGGTGGCCTGATGTTAGAAACCGACAAAACCTTTGGTTTTGTAATGCATGTATGTAGCTGTACTAAATAAATTTGCTAATATTTTGCAATTCAGTCATGCAACTCATACCATACTTCAAACACAAATCCCTGTTTATGATTTTAATTTTTTACATAACTGATTAACAAATTTTGTTCATGTGTTTGACTTTGAACCATGTTTTTTTGTGTCAAGACTATTAAGATGACCTGGCAGCCCAAACTAACGTGTTTAAAGTGAGTTAACAATCTCTCACCTAATGGTTCAAACTGAGCCCTCAGTATGAAGTAGTCACTAAATCTAGTTTCACGGAAATCATGAATCAGTCAATGTTATACCATTTAAAATACCTGGAAACACCGGATGGTCACCTCGTCCCAGTGTGGGACTCATCAGCATTGAACATGCACGACCCCACACTCCGGAACCGAACTTAGGACGTTCGGCCTCGCTCGCAAACTCTCAACCCCCAGACCACTGAGCTGGGATCCAACGGTGTTAATGTCTCACTTCACTCAATCCATGAGATCGCGCGACCTCATACATTGTTTTCAGTGGGTAACTGTCGGACACTCGACACGGTTGAACTCCACTGGTCACGGCTTCTCACTAGAATTCTGAGGGTTCCCTTACAAAGCTATTCACTTGTGAGCTCTATAGAGTTTTGGAGATTGTTTTGTTGATTGATTGAAGTTAGGCAATAACACACGTAGATACCGGCTCAGTGGTCAAGAGTTTGAACGTTCGCATACAGGAACGAATGTCCTGAGTTCAACTCCGGATAGCGGAGTCACAGATGCGCACTGCTGATTAGTCCCACACATTGACGAAACGGCCGTCCAGTGCTTCTAGGTTTTAATTGTGGTCTTATATTGATTGAATCATGATTTCAGTGAAACTCAGCAGTCTACACAACCCTAAATCAAGTACTTGACTAACCTGGGTTTTCGGAAATTCATTTCTTTCTGCACAATCCCTGTGAAATAGCAGTTTAAAATTTTGATTGCTGTAAAATTACACTCATATATTCCACGAGATATGTTTAAGCACTTGTGCTGCAGAATAAACTGTTGGCCCATATTTTCACACTTGACAAACGAAGAAAACGAACGACTTACTTCACTTTCGAACAAGTATATTGTAAATAACCTTAGTTTATTTTCACTAAATTTAATTGGAAATAATCGTTAGTTCATACCTGTAATATAGGCATTAGGACTAGTAATCCAAGTAGTTTTATTGCGATTTTTATTTTTGCAGATATTCATGTATGGGTTTCAATAGTCTGTTGGCTCATGCTTCTGTAAATCACTTACATTTTCACTTTTGGCAATCACCAGAATACTTACGAGCTATGTCCACAGTAAGTTAATCGATATTTTTGCTCAAGTAGAACAGTTGCTCTCAAACGTAAACATTGACTACTATATTCCCACATTCCAAATACCAATTCTCAGTGTATAGTACCTAATTCTAATTTTACTTGTTTATAAGAATTATACGTTTAACTGTCCCTCAAATCAAAAAGCCCGATCTATGTGTGATACTTCTTACTTTTCTAAGGAAATAGAAATTGTAACTATATCATTAGTGGTATGATTTCTCCGTGTCTACAACTCAGTATTTTTTATGTATGTACAAACTAGTTATTTATAAAATGGGATTCACTGTAAATGCTAACTTAAGCTGAGAATATTTTCTCAAAAAACTTTTGAAATCAATCTTATTATCAAAACCAATCTAAATCAATTATATTTTACATGGTCAAATCATTTACTATGTTGAATATTTAACATGTATCAGATCCATCATATCGGAAATAAAAGCATTTTTAGAATCGGAAGCAAAACCTAATAGTGTTGAACTTTTGAAATACTTCGATTATGTTAAAAAATCATTTAAATAACGCCTGATTTTTTTCAACTTGTATACGTGCATCAAAATATAGTTGTTTAGCTCAAATTTGAAACTTAATTCTACTAAAAAATAATTACTTTTTAAATCATGACTGTGTGGTGCCTCCACATTTATTTGCATCCGCTTACATTTAATTTGCTTAAGCCCTTTCGATTAATTTATTTAACCAAGCCATTTGTATAGCAACATCTCATATGTGCCATTGGTATTTTTTATTGTGTGGTTTGTATGAGCTTGTACGACTGAGCATTGCTTACGCCTACGCGCTTACTCATCCTTTTCGCTTTTATGTTAATCTCTTAATATCCCCATGACCTCACATGATTTGTATCGCTTGCTTTTGACCTTGTCAATCATTCATCGCTTTTATTCATGTGTGTGCACGCCTATTTCGCTTGTCATATGTCTGTCTTATTTTTATCTGACTATATATTCTTAGTCATACTCTATCTCTTTGAGTTGGCTCTTAGCCTTCTCCAATTCCGCTTCGCTTTGTGGTGTGTCCCGAATAAACGTATTCATCAATACAAGTTCATCTTCTGATTTATAAACCGAGCTTAAGAACACGCGGTAATCCGGCATACTACAACTGAACATTACTTGAGTAAACTTATATAATGTATGTATTGAAATGTTAGGTGGCTGGAATTATTTGATAAATAACTCTTTACCTGTTTTGTGTTAGTTGGTACTCGTGAGCATGGCGTACCTATTTTGACACACCTTTGATACTTTCAACATATCCACGAACTTTACACACAACTCAGACTATCAATCAGTGATTTAGCATATCGCTGATTTGTTTGATCTAGTCACCTCTAACATCCTCACAATATAACTCTATTTTAGTTAGCACCCTATATTCTATTAAACAAGAATATGGCGTATGTAACAGATTGAATTATTTGGACTAAAATTTAGTAATGCTGAATCTCAATATTATTTCCAACAAATAGCATCAAATAGCCAACTGTTTTCTGTTTTAATATTTCACAATTTGGACGGTTTAAATCTTTGATTTAGTTTCGAAATATTTAATCGCATTTTGTGTTATTTCATAAACTACAGAGCTTTTTAAAAAATTACATTTACTTCTAGGATATTAAATTAAAGTACGAAAATTCATCTTACTATGAACTAGTCGATCATCCTGTCGATAATTTTGTTCTTGAATTAACCGATTTAAAAGAATTGGATCGATTTGTAGAGTAAGTTGATTGGGTTTTTTTTGTTTCTGAAATCGATCATGATTCATGGATTGACATCCTAAGTTTTGAATGTAAATTAACTCGATTAAGGATGTATTAACAAAGCAAATTAAGGTGTTTTAGTTATGAATTATTCAAATAATCAATCAAATAAAGGATAGCTACTTGGATTAATTCTGTAGGAAACTGAATTTTCGACTAATTCTTACTTTTAATTATTAATCTAAACGTAGTAGGCAATCTCAGTATGTCAGTTTAAAACTGTTTTTATCAGTTTTTTTGCAGTGATATTTCGCATAAGTTGCGCTAATAGCTGTAAAATTAAACGTGACTGTAAGTTGTTTACTTGAATAGATTAACATCCTTGAAGTATAAAAAAAAAAATTATCATCTATTTTATTTCGATGTTTTTTTTCATTTTGAAACCAGATGGGATTTAAAATGTTGTGCATTAAATAAAGTATTCTGTTTCATAATTTTGAATGTTTAGAGAAGAAATTTTTTTAGAATCAACTAGGAAATTCATGTGAACCGCAAAAATTAAAGCTGTTAATCGGGGTGTTATAGGGTCTTCTTAGGGGGCCACTTTCCGATCCCTTGACTCATTAGTCTTATCCGCAACTCAATGAAGCGACTTCAGGAGATGCGATCTCATGGTAACCGGTGACCAGCTGGAGATTTATACGCCATTCATTCCATGAGGATCCTGGAGCCCATGTGCACCACAGATATACTCGTCAATTGACATGCTTGAAACTATTACGAGTTCACTTTACTCAGTAAACGAGAGCGAAGGAATAATACGGTGACACGACAAGTTATTCTGATTCGATTGTCCCCGGCCCTGCTAACTATGGTATGAAGTCTTGATAAGGCGTAAAAAGTGTATTTATTCTACAAGCACCCAGAAAATCGAGGTTGACAAGCACACGAATCGAGTTCACTTTTACATAGTAGAAACGTTCTTGAGAGAGCCACAATATAGTGTACAAAATAATCCATCAACCAGTGACAGTCAATGAATTTCCGAGCGGAAAATGTAAGCTGAAGGTCAACTAAGCAACTTATGCGCGAAAACATAAAAAATCCGAAATTAAGACCTTTTGAAATCGAGTTCTGTGGATCTAACGTCCCCAACAACAATCGGTTCGAGATCAGGGTTTCGCAGCTCCCCCAGATGGAACTTCCATACTCGCCGAGCCGATTAAAGCACCAGACATTCGCTTTTCGTCCTCTCAATGTCGTAAGAAATACCCCTGCCATAAGGCAATGAGTTGGACTTCCCTGGTAGTGGCTATAGACACATGGCCTTTTGAGAGCATTTCGAAAGGGATAGCTGACTCTGCCTACTCTCGACCGTACTAGAGCATTTACAGCTAGTTGCAAAATCAGTTGATCAAGCATAATGTTAAGTACCCGTAACACTAGGATGTGATGTGTGATTAGGAAACAGTTATCGTGTGTACTAAGCAACACTACTTAACTATAACCTCTTTTTTTTATATCTTTTGGTGATTTCTTTCTGAAATGTTTTATTCTAGTCATTTATGGATAGTGGTTTCATCTTGTCAACATCTACAAATCGCTCACAACGTATTTGTAGCGCGTTCTAAATCCACTGGCTTTGTACGTGTCGTTGTCTGGCCGCGTTGCTCAGTTTTTGAAGTAAAGAACCTGTCCACAGTTGACTCAGAGCCCAGTTTTTATGTGGCTGTTGCTGAACTCGCTGGAATGATGGTTGTTGCTGGTGAAGATGTTGCCTGTACGTTGAATTTCGATAAAGTAGAATCTATCTTACGTAATGAACGCCTACCCAGAAGCACTATCCATGCCCTTGAATGCAAATTATTTGAAACTTTACGCACCCAGCAAACATAACTAAAATCAGATACTAACGTTTTCTCAAATATGTACAAATTCATACCTAATTTTACTGTTCTGTACGGTCTTATTGTCTAAATTTTATGACATTATGAATTCCAGAGGTTCGTTTGATGTATTAGGAACTTATGTTTATTTTGCCTGTCTTTATTTGAACTTCACTTCCTCTTTTTACTAGTCAAGATAAATTGTTTGTTTGATCTTCTGTGGTAGCTCTCTACATTTTCATCATCACCTTTAACTACTCATATACAGTTTTATCATGAGAATGCCTTATACGAACTTCATTATATGCGGAGACAGCTATGTTTCTGGGTTGCGTAAATCGCAGCATCTTCCGAATGCAAATTCTATGCATACAAACAGGATGCTAAATATATTTTTCAAGTATTTATGCTCCATACAGATTAATAGTATTTGCGTAAGCTGGGGAACTGCTCAGAATCCTGGAGCCCATGCGCACCACTGGGTTTCCCGACTCTTCTGCGTTAACCCTCTGAACCGATCAACCCGACTAAAGCACCAGACATTCGCTTAGCGTTCTCTCAGTTACACCATTTACAAGATCCTTGCTACGAAAAGGCAGTGGAAGAGTGATTCCTTGACATCACTCATATACGCGTAGCTACATGAAAGCATTTTAAGAAGGTGAGCGTACTCTTCTAACTCTCCGTCGCACCAGGTCACTCAGGAGCTATTAAATATAATGAGCTACTAATAACCTATTATTCTCTTCGGACTGCACACTGCTTAACAATAAAACTTAGAGTCAATCAGTCAGCAATGACGCAGAATTTGATACTTATGTACAACAATCCCATACACATTTGACGTAGGCGAGGTATCCGTATGCTAACCAAAGGACGGGTCTACTGCGCAGCACTTCGCTGTCCTACTGTAAGGGTGGCCAGTAGGAAACGAAAATATCTTTAGGTTACTAATATTCACTCATAGATGCCATCAAAGCATTACTCGTAAATCCTGTGACCATCGGGTAAGCAATGCTATCGTTAGGATGGGGATGGTAAATCAATATATAAGGTGGTTAGGACATCTTTTCCGTATTCTTAAACACCGACTGCCTCAACGGTCTATGCTTTGTGGTGTAGGAAGAGGCTAGGAGAAAGCTAAGGGCGTTGAAACCAAAAACATGGCACAAATCCATGAGACCACTGACAAGTGGACTGAGTCAATTTGGTAGATGTAGACTACCTGGTTGGGGTCCGCGAGATGATAGTAACCGATGGTTAGAGACCTTGAATGACATGGCTCAAAATCGTTAGCGATGGCGGGGGCGCATCCACTCTTTGTATTCCCTCAGATTCTATTCTTCAGAATTCCCCATCTCTTTCTAAATTTGTCTCACTGAATTATAGTTCTTGAATAATATCTTACCCTTACACCAGAAAACATCGTTCATCGAGATAGTTAGGCGAATGTCCTAGCCACCTCAAATGATGAAGACTAACTACTACATCCATTGATCTGTCAACCTCACCTAGCACCCGCTTAACTCCAGCATTGTTCACCTTGTGGCCACAGGATACACGAGTAATGTTTCGGAAACATTTATGATCTGTCAATATCCGCTAATCTTAGTGGCCTGGAAATATATATTATAGCTAGGGCAGCTTGGGAAAAAGATCGAACTTAACATACCTTGAGCTACTAACTCCAGGACAATTTGGAACTGTCTTAATGAACACCGATCCTAGAGCCATCCCTTGAGCCGAGATTGATTAGCAAATCCCTCCAGAATTAGTAGATTCTGAGCAGTTCCCAAGACCTGTTGCGCTTCTACTCGTTAACTGACTTTCCCTAAGACTGAATCATTACTCAAAGAAAATTTGACAAAAAACCTAATCATGGAGTGGGCATCCCTCTGACTAGTCTGTAAATGAGTATGCTCATTATGGAATATCGCGCGTCCTACTAACTTCTGATTGGCGCCACCACAACACAACGGCCGCTACAGAGCGAAGTTCACTAGCTCCTCTTAGCCCTGGTTACTAGGTGTGGCGTCACTACTCAATACGTGACTTGAACAGACAACCACGGCACGCTGACAAGAAGAACTACGTCTACTAGTACGATACGGAATTCTTCGGAGTTCACTTGAACTTGACGTCCTATTCGCGGTCCAATGTATCGATGGAATTGCCGGTTCCTTACTCGGCACAATAGCAAACCAGACCAAAGAAAGGTACCTGAGACAACTTAATTTATCCGCGACACGACCGCCTTTAATCCTCTAAACCAGTAACTTTCTTACACCTCACTAACAGGGATTTAAACTACCTTACGATCTTGAGGCGACGCTCACGTATTCGAACCACCAGTTAGTCTTACTCATCCGATTTCGAAAGCAAAGAGCGCATCTTCCCAGCCAACTAAGTTGCATATGATCTGTTATGCTTATATTATCTACCTATTAACACTAATAGAAAATTGATGTGGGTGGCATCATCTTTTGTATTATGAATCACATCACATGTCAGACGAAGGACCATGTGCTCCTAATCTGGTGAAACAAAAGTTACTTTAGGTAACACAACACTTCAGCAGCAACCAATAGAAGTCCCCGAGACATCGAACAAAGATCACAGAAGGAATGCCATCAAAATATATTTAGTACATGTAATAGCAATTATACATTGACATCTGAGGTTCCTCGTTGCCTTTCTTTGATGATCATTAGATACCTGGAGGTTGAAAAGTAAGTATTAATCACTCATAACATAACATTCATTGGCGAATGGTATTGAATATATGTACAATATGTAAGCCTCAGCCGCTCCTCGATATAATCACAGTGAACTTACCAAAGCGCGAAAACCGGTCTAGCCTTCCAGTCCTGAAAAAGGGATGGACTCGATTAAAATATCAGAGTAACTATGACAAAAAGGAACACAAACACTTCAAGGTATCCAGAACGGAAACTGAAGTAAACTAACCAAGACAAAACTCATCAGTAAAACTCACTCAACGTCCATTAGTGGTCTTCAGCCATGAACCATTGATTGGTGACCAAAAATGCTAGCTTAGAGCTATCACACTGTGATGTACTGTAACAAGTGGAAAAAATAAAGAACTGAGTAATTTCAGAGTAACTATGACATAATGGTTCACCAGTACACAAATGCAACCAAAACGGTCGATTTGAGTCAAAATAACCAAGAACTATGTATCATCGCAGAACAAAAACGAACCTGTGCCATTCTTATTGAGTATGAACACGAACACTAAGCCCTCTGCTGTCATCACGCTGTCATTCAGTGATCATAGGATTGCACTGAGCGTTTAGGCTGTTCAAACAACATTTATCAATATTCATTTTCCCTGTCAAGATTTTTTAATGAAGCCCATCAAAAAGCAGCTTTAGATCTATTTCAGACGTTTTGGTTAGGTGCGAAGTCTATTATTTCGGATAACTCTTTGTGAACAAATGTCATTCTGTGAAATCAATAGCTTTTATGAGTATATGTCAGCCTTAAAAGAGCGACTTTTGGCTCATTTTTACTATTAATGCAACCCTTCTTTTCACATAAATAATTATATCCTTGTTGATTTGACTCGCACTCTATGTCTAGTTTATTGCATGCTAATTTGTTTATACTGTTCACTATCTATTCTGAGCTACATTAACGTTCATCAAGACCAATGCCTTAATTAGGAATCTATTGCCCACTCCAGTCTTCTTTTTGTCGCTTCTAATATATCTACAAACGTTTGCTCAAATGATTGAGCATGCGATGAAATAAATCCGGCCTCCATTTTCCGTATATCAGAGTTAGGCGAACACCGTTTGGGCGACGGTGGTAGTAAAACTCCGAATACGAATTAATTTGAATGGGTTCGTTTCATGCGATCGTTCATACAAACAGACATGAGAATACAAAGCTTAAAAGCAAAGCGAAGCGAAGTTGGGAAGGCATGACTAAGTATATATTGTCAAACAAAATTAAGTCACAAGTGCAATAAACGAAGTAGGCAAATATGTGCTTAAGCAAAAACACATATAAGCGAATTACTGACAAGGTCGAAAGACATGTGAATAATGGATGTACAGAGCAGGTTAATCAGTTTGTCTGAAAACTAAGACGCGTTATTTTGGCCCAACCTATTAAAATACATGCTACAACGGTTACCTTCGACTATCGGAATTTAAAACAGGTCTATATTCACCTTCCAGTTGATAAACTTAATAAGTTATCCAATTCGTTTGGAGGTGTGCTTGAAGAGCTTTGAAACACACGAAAATTCTGTACTTAATACAAGTAATTTGTCTGTAATTTCTCCTAACGATTTTCTAACTGCGTCAAAGAGCAGGGTGTTTAGCTGAAGTAGATTTTTAGGGTCAACTGAATGTCACTGGGCTCCAAACAAACTGTAAGTTACTGGATACTGGATTATGTACTGATGTTGTTAACATCAAATATAATGACAACGCACCAGTTTATCGCATGACATCGGACGGCACATGCGGCAAAGGTATAACTCATTAAAGTAGCCAAAACACACGGCGCAATGCGGTGATTCATAGTAGGTATAAACTGCGGGGTGTGACCTCAGAGTTAGCTTTGAGGTGACGATAGTCATATCCAAATCCAATAAATACAACTACCAATTCAGGCATTGATAGACAGAGCATTAGAGTAAGATCGATTACCAAGCCCACTATTAAACGCGTACGACCACGTTGACTCTCTTTAACCATACGGGATAATGATTGAATTATTCACCATTCGCAATCTTCAACTTTTGTTATAAATGATATTTTATTTGTTGAGTCATTTTTCCTGTACTCTAGATATTGTTCGTGACGTTTCTTGTCGCTCTTTCTCCTTTCAAATAGAGATGAGTTTCTGTTGTAATGACCAAATTTCCAATATTTGATTTGAACGTGGAACTAAGGAATCAGAATTTATTTTACTAAACCAAACTACATTTTTAGCATTAGTGCACAAACGGTTTTCAGTGACTCGTATGAAACTATATCAAAATACAAGTTCAGTGTTCAATTTAAAAGGTTTTCAGATTTCAATCTGATATAATATCCAAACCAGGAGAGGAACGCTGTTAACAGTATAAATATATATGGTTTACTAATTGACTGTCCCAACATTATTACAATTTAAAATGGCAGGATCGAATACACTGTCACCATTGTCCAAGATATCTTCGTAGTCCCGAGAAGCTGGTATATACCATGAAGCCTGGAAAGTAAATAATGCTGTTGCTGAACACATAAGAACCCCAGTTATCTCACGAACAATGGAGAAAGTGATTAAAGATCAATTATTTGATCAATTACTTAGGTTACGTCATATAGACTTTCCATGACACGGCTTCATCAGAACTAGGTCATGCATAGCACAAGAGATAGATTTTT